ACTTATGGGGTGGGCAGAAAAGCTACATTTCTCCAAGATTTACGTATTTAAAATGCGAATCAAAGCCGAAAGGTTACGGTATCCATAATATCGAGCTTAAGGGTTAACAACTCATGGCTTCTGAATACTAAAACAAACATTATGATAACAGAGTGGTCCGTGACACGGCTTCTTTATGCAAGGGCACTGCCATGGCACCCATTCGCTTGTTCATTCATACTATAACTGCGCGCCCTCACTCACAAACAAAGCTACTCCAGTGAAATCTGACTGACTAACAATCTGAACCAAACGGGGAAACATACAAACAGATTAGCTTTCAGATGGAAAGCTGACCTGTAAAGGTTATAGCATTCCCCAACCTTATATATCGATGTGCAAAAGTTAAAAATGGACACTTGGGGGATTATTGAGAACGTATATGGAAGCTTGGGAGATGTGATTTTATGGACAGCCAGTAAAGGAACCGGCTAGGAACAGAAGAGCACAGAAACGGAGCAAGTATGGCGAGACCTGATTGCGATGATGTTGAAACCTTGACTGACTAGGAACAGAATTCTTGATTGCTGTGTAGAGGTGACCGCAGTCACCCCCATATTTTCACCCATAAACAAAACGGATTTTACATTTGAAAGATGAAAACCACTGTTTTCCAAGACAGCCAATTTGCATCTGACTGTCTACAAGGGAGGTCAGAGTAAGTGCACATTCGAGTGATGGATGCCTCTCTCTCTATATATACACCATTTACAGTGGCATCTATAGACCATTTACAGTGCCATCCATAGACCAGTTACAGTGTCATCTATAGACCATTTACAGTGTCATATATATACCATTTACAGTGTCATCTATATACCATTTACAGTGTCATATATATACCATTTACAGTGTCATATAGAGACCATTTACAGTGTCATCTATATACCATTTACAGTGTCATATATATACCAATTGCAGTGTCATCTATAGACCTTTACAGTGTTATCTACAGACCATTTACCGTGTCATCTAAATATTATTTACAGTGTCACCTATAGACCATTTACAGTGTCACCTATAGACCATTTACAGTGTCATCTATATATTGTTTACATTGCCATCTATAGACCATTTACAGTGACATCTACAGACCATTTACGGTGTTATATATAGACCATTTACAGACTCATCTATAGAAAATTTACAGTCATCTATAGACCATTTAAAGTGTCATCTTTATATTATTTAAAGTGTCATCTATAGACAATTTACCGTGTCATCTATAGACAATTTACCGTGTCATCTATAGACAATTTACCGTGTCATCTATAGACAATTTACCGTGTCATCTATAGACAATTTACCGTGTCATCTATAGACAATTTACCGTGTCATCTATAGACAATTTACCGTGTCATCTATAGACAATTTACCGTGTCATCTATAGACAATTTACCGTGTCATCTATAGACAATTTACCGTGTCATCTATAGACAATTTACCGTGTCATCTATAGACAATTTACCGTGTCATCTATAGACAATTTACCGTGTCATCTATAGACAATTTACCGTGTCATCTATAGACAATTTACCGTGTCATCTATAGACAATTTACCGTGTCATCTATAGACAATTTACCGTGTCATCTATAGACAATTTACCGTGTGTCATCTATAGACAATTTACCGTGTCATCTATAGACAATTTACCGTGTCATCTATAGACAATTTACCGTGTCATCTATAGACAATTTACCGTGTCATCTATAGACAATTTACCGTGTCATCTATAGACAATTTACCGTGTCATCTATAGACAATTTACCGTGTCATCTATAGACAATTTACCGTGTCATCTATAGACAATTTACCGTGTCATCTATAGACAATTTACCGTGTCATCTATAGACAATTTTACCGTGTCATCTATAGACAATTTACCGTGTCATCTATAGACAATTTACCGTGTCATCTATAGACAATTTACCGTGTCATCTATAGACAATTTGCCGTGTCATCTATAGACAATTTGCCGTGTCATCTATAGACAATTTACCGTGTCATCTATAGACAATTTACCGTGTCATCTATAGACAATTTACCGTGTCATCTATAGACAATTTACCGTGTCATCTATAGACAATTTACCGTGTCATCTATAGACAATTTACTGTGTCATCTATAGACAATTTACCGTGTCATCTATAGACAATTTACCGTTTCATCTATAGACAATTTACCGTTTCATCTATAGACAATTTACCGTTTCATCTATAGACAATTTACCGTTTCATCTATAGACAATTTACCGTTTCATCTACAGACAACATTCATTCAACAGTTGCTGCACTGTTCATGTCAGACAATATTCATTCAACAGTTGCTGCACTGTTCATGTCAGACAACATTCATTCAACAGTTGCTGCACTGTTCATGTCAGACAACATTCATTCAACAGTTGCTGCACTGTTCATGTCAGACAACATTCATTCAACAGTTGCTGCACTGTTCATGTCAGACAACATTCATTCAACAGTTTGCTGCACTGTTCATGTCAGACAACATTCATTCAACAGTTGCTGCACTGTTCATGTCAGACAACATTCATTCAACAGTTGCTGCACTGTTCATGTCAGACAACATTCATTCAACAGTTGCTGCACTGTTCATGTCAGACAACATTCATTCAACAGTTGCTGCACTGTTCATGTCAGACAACATTCATTCAACAGTTGCTGTACTGTTCTTGACAGACAACATTCATTCAACAGTTGCTGCACTGTTCATGTCAGACAACATTCATTCAACAGTTGCTGCACTGTTCATGTCAGACAATATTCATTCAACAGTTGCTGCATTGTTCATGTCAGACAACATTCATTCAACAGTTGCTGCACTGTTCATGTCAGACAACATTCATTCAACAGTTGCTGCCCTGTGCATGTCAGACAACATTCATTCAACAGTTGCTGCCCTGTTCATGTCAGACTAAATTCGTTCAATGCCCTAGGTTTGCCGACGAAGGCTAACAGACACAAATTCCCACAAGTCAAGGCGTACATGAGGTTATCGGCAGAAGTTTACCACCCGCGGCACAAAGCTATACACGAAACAACAGGTGTGAGTCTCAAAAGAGGCCGCTTTCTTTTGGCCAATGCTGAAAATGTAACCCAGCAGGTGTGTGACCTAGATGAGATCAGTCGCGGAAACGAATGGACGAATACACTAGCACATGCATGACATCTCTAAGGTTGTCGTCACACTGGGTTTGTACTGCAGGAATCAGGTTCCCGAGGGCGTAGACACAGAGGTAAGGGCACTGATATGTCAGCATTTATATCCAGAGTATTTCAAGGTCAGCATGGGCGTACACAGTGCAAAGAATAAGGAAATAATAAAGGAGGATAGGGCCGCTTACCAGACAACCACGTCAAGCATGGCCATGCTTCAGAGCACAACAACAGGCGGTAGGCGATCTGAAGGGGTAGCAAACATTCGAAAGTCGCACCTAACCATTCTCACCTGGATCTACACACCTGGTCATGCGGGCGAAGTTGTAATGAGCGAGCAGACAAACTAAAAGCAGTGCACCAACGCATATGGGAAGAATAATGAACAGAAAAGATTTCGTCAACGCTGTACGAACCAGGCTGGTGGATAACGAGAAAGCTCTGACACTAACACAATTGCCTGATATAAGAGTAAAACATGGTGAAGCACGTCTATGCCGCCTTTAAGGTAGAGACTGGAGAATACATAAACAACTTCTTATAGGTTACAATTCGTAGGAGTACGTTAGAGTTGCTGCTGCATCAGAGGACTGAGCACGCATGGGAATGCCCAATGTGCTGTGATGTCGATTATGATATCATAACATGACTGGTCTTGAACCAACGAGAAATGCGAATCAGTGCGAACAAATGACTCTAAAGCATCGACTATGACATTTTCGCTTAGCAGGACCTTGAGATATTTTTGGGGTGGCACTTTTCCGTCTGCACAGGCGATAGCGTTATACTGTACTACGAGAACGCATAGGTCTCACAGTCCATGGCGATGGCGAGTGTGACAAGCAAGACTCGCCCGCGTTAGGAAAAGTCTCCCCCAATTAAAGCATCGGGTTTCAGGACCGTTGTTGGCATCGGATGAATTCAGTGTGTATCTTCCCAGCACTCAGCTTCCACCCTGTCTACACAAAGCCCAGGCAGTATCCCAGAGCCCATATGCTCCACATGCACTGTGATCCCTTCTCGGCACTTTGTTATGTGGCAAGCATGAAATGTATAGAAGACGCGTCCCTAGAAGTAAAAGTAAGTAAAGTAAAGATCCCTGTACACGCCATAGGCGCATTGGGTATATGGGAAGAGGGTCCCATATTTTTATAGACTATTCGGCACTAGATGGGTAATGTGGTCAGCATTACACCGGCCGTCTTTACTTCCCCAGGACAGCTATCCTGCAACCCATTTTAGGCTGGGTCGAACTGTGACGCCCCATACCATGATAAAAATCCACGCAGCCAGCAGTGGGTTTCGATCGTGGTACGTTGGATTTCGAATCGGAATCTCAACGCCTAAGCCACGGACGCCGCATCCTAGAAGTAAAAGCTGCCTAAAAATATACTGATTACATAATTCATGGGCTGCTGATTGTTCTCTGGAAACAGTGATAATCAGCACCACATGAACAGCAAACTCCCGTGTTTGTCATAATAATAGTGGTCATTTTTTCCCCTTGTTGCTTTTGACCTAAACGCTCGGCAGTTGCGACAGCGAACATTTCGACAACCTCTTTGTCAGCGAAGTTAAAGGCGGACAACAATCAACAATACCTAACTTAAAGCATTAAAAGAAAATCATGTATAATCTTCACAATGAAGGTTGTCTGTATCTAATGTTATTTCTAAGAACAGTACCTAAATAGATCAGCCTCTGCTACGATAAAATGAGAAGTAGAATAAGGAACAAAAAAAGTAATGCAGTAAGTTCCTATGCTTTCTACTACGTCTAGGTCCTACCTTCTTGAAGTATTTCTTTGACTTTGTACTCTTAGGATCTTGTGGATCGTAAAACAGCACAATTGCCATGTCTCTGGGTCGAATGATCTCATCAAAGTTATCAGCAGTCAGCCCTGAAACATTTTTGGAGCCGACGAAACGGTCGCGGGCCACAGTCAAGGCCGGGTCAAGGACCGGCATAATCCCACCTTCAAAGGGGACACGTTTGGGGAAAGTTGCACGGACATCTTTTTCACTTGTTCTTCGCGCTGACTGACGTGCCGGCGGTGAGTCCAGTTTTGCGCCCGCAACAGGACTTTCTTCAGAAGGAACTTGGGGTGAGAAGGATGCATGGCTATCTTGTCTGATTATTTGTGGTCGTGATCTAGATCCGGGTGGCGAAGCCGATTGGGCGCCTGATACACGACCTCCTTCAATGGAATCCCGAGTTTGTAATGGTGCAAGGACATCTTGCCCAATGTTCTCCACTGGTTGTCTAGGTGGGGGTGTTGGCGGGAAAATTCCCAGTCTGTTGGGTTTTTGATAAGACGGCGACCACGTATTGGCCAGTTTGTTCATTGGTGATTCTTGCTGCTCTTGTTGGAGTTGAGGCTCATCAGTGTATTGTGGGGTGTTTGGTTTCAACTGTTTGGGCGGAGACTGTTGTGGAGATATCTTCTCGTATGTGTTGCTAGGAGGCGGTGGTGCAAGGCGCTTGTCTTTTGGCAATACTGTGCTATAGATAGGGCTTGTTTGAGGTGCCTCTTCTGTTGTATTCATGTCACTAGGCAGGCTGCGTTGTGGGGTTGTAGGTTCTCGTGAAAGTTTGGGTGGCGATCTTGGGGATTGTATGGGTGCTTTTGGGGAGGTCGATAAAGCTTTTTCTGGATAATCGATTCTTGGACTTGAAGCCGATCTTGCGCCTGATGGCTGACGAGCAGGTGTGTGTTGCTCAAACGGCTGACCTTCAGTCCCTGTTTGCAACTGATTCCTACCTGTCACTGGGGTTTTCGGAGATATTTCCATGGGCGTCATTTGTGTTTTGCTAGATATATCCCTTAGTGTCATGGGAGTTTTAGGAGATTCTGGCTCTTGAACACGAGATCTCAGTTTCAATTGTTCTTGAAACGTAAGACCTTCCAGACCAGTGACCTTAGGTAGTCTTTTAGGTGTTTGTTTAGGTGATCTGGCTAATGGTGGCATAGGGATTGGTTCTGTTTCTTCTTGCAGAGCGAACGGACTTTTTGGAGAAGAATGTTGTGGGGAAGGAGGTGGCTCTAGGGGGACGGAACCAGCCAGATCAGAGGAAGACGCATCTGGTAACGTTGGTGATTCTACAACAAATGATCGCCTGTTTTTTTTAGGGCTGGGTGTCGGTGGAGTTGGTGGCCGCAGAAAGCGAAACACTTTATGCTTGGCTCGCTCTTCGTCTGTTTTTGGAAAAACTAACTCTGGAAGCTTCGTTCCAATCCTCTTCTTTTCTTTAGGCTGGCCTGCTTCATCAACTGCGACAGTTGCCCACTTTTTAGGACCGCCAAAGCCTTGTGGGGGAGGAGGTGGCGGTGGAGGTGGTGGAGGTGGTGGACCGCCATCAATTCTGAAGATAGGAGGGGGCGGTCTGGGGGCTACGGGTGTTATAACCCTTGGAGGTCTGACTGGGGATGGTGTGGGAGGTGTTGGGGGCTTCAGAAAGCGGAACACCTTGGCTTTCTTTCTCTCCTCGTCTGTTGTGGGAAATACTAATTCAGGGAGCTTAGTACCAATTCGTTTCTTCTCTTTCTCTTTAGTTTGTGAGCCTTCGACCGCCACCGTCGCCCATTTCTTGGGCCCGCCACCACAAACAGGTGGTGGTGGTGGTGGTGGTGGTGGCGGTGGAGGAGGAGGAGGGGGTGGCGGTGGTGGCGGTATACCAGCCATGTTTGTATCGTCAGATAACCAAAAGTAACAAGCAAATAAAAGTTTACTCTGATCGGAAGTTAACAAAAAGTTACAGCTGTCTCATGACATGATAGCGCGGAAGAAAAACCAGTGTACCTTGCCCTGTGTAGCTTTATTTAGGGTAGGAAACAACAGATTATCTCACACAAGTGGTCGGAGATTTGAGCACATAATGCGTTTCAGGTTGTGTCAGCCAGGCTGAGCTGTGCAGATGGATAATATACTGAACCATCTCAATGGCCCCTGTCCGGCCTAAAGTTGTGTACAACGTCAGTGAACATGACGTCACGGGTGTTGGTTCCCTGTGTGCAACGCCTGTGCTAAATTGTGCGGTAGTCAAGATGCCATTGTTGTCTATTACTGAGTAACTGAAAGGTGATGAGATAGACACTGATTCATTCATTCTCTGAGAGAACGACGGGAGGAACAATTTTTGAGTTGAGTTGAATTGAGTGGAGAGAATCATCACAATACTCCGGACATCCCTAAAAGCCCTTAACTCTTTGAGTTCCAGGCTGTTTATCATCACTGGTCCAAATGTAGTCAATAGAAACTTAAAATCGGCGCAACTTGCGTTCAGTGGGCTTCAGATAGGAACCTAAGAACGTCTGATACCTTTCTTGGGACTGAACGAGTTAAACACAGAGGTCACTTACGTGTTACTTATTGTCCGTATCAATAACCCAGCACTTTGCTCAGACATCCGGGGTAGCAGTCATCTCAGTGTCTCCATACTGAGTTGAGTTGAGTCCAGAATTGACATCACAGCACTCGGGGCATTCCCATTCATGATACATCCTTATCTTCAGCAGCCAGAGCAGAGTTCCAGTTCTGTTGGTACCGTTCAAAATCTGGTTAAATGTCTGTCTTGCCTTTCCTCTGAGTGTAGTGAGTCGGTCAGACCCTCTGGTCACACAAAGGTGCCTCATTCTTTCCACGGCATAATCTTGTTTCTCTACTGAATACGTTGCTTGTTCCCAGAGGTCTTGATCACATCTGCTATGTCATGTATCGATTCACCACCCAGTGGTGAGGATATAGCCAATCTATCTGCCTGTTCATAACCCACCACCCTGGCATGGCCTGGAGAAAACATCAAAAGTATGCTCACTATCGTGACCTTCCCAGTAAAGCTTGACACTCTGCTCGAAGCATCCCTGTCTTTACCTATTTCCGCATGTCTTCAGAATCTGTTCAAATTACGACATGTGTATGTATTTTGTTCTCTAGCCACCGAAGAGCTGCAGTTATCGCCTCCAACTCTATTCTCATGCTAGGTGTTGTGGTGTCATATGCTAGACTGTTCTGTACTAAAGATTTTCTAGTGGCTCTAGCTACGAACCCTATGCACTTCTCTTTCTTCTCAGCACCGAACCATCTGTATAGATAATCAGATCACATGGGCGTCAGTTGTGGTGACTCAACTGTTGGACAGCAACCCCGTAGCACCCGCTGGCCTCTCTGCACACCTGGTCCAATGTGATCATAAACCTACTAAGGTCAGACTTTTCCTCTTGTACTCTGACCCACTCCTCTCCTCGCCCAGTGTTCTCCAGCATGCATACTTGTCTTATTGTGTCTTCTGCTTGAACCATCCACGATTTTCCTATTTTCAGCCTCTGACGCTTGCCTGCAGCCGCAGCTTCATACAGAGGGTGTTCCCTGTCTGCAGCTACTCTGAGGTATGACTTTAGATTGCAGCACCTGGCGGTTGGGGACATTATCTAATTCATATATATAGAAAGAAAGGGTGGAGATAACATTGACCATTGTTGTACCCCAGATGTAGCTTGAAATCAGGTTAATGTGTCTAAATTTGTTCTTACAGCATATTCGGTTGTTAGTTAAGTAGTTAGGATATGATCATTGCACTCCAGACATGCTATAGGTGCTCAGATCCTTTCCTCAGTATGAACCCCAGCTCCTATGACTAAAAGTGCCAGTTCTTTGTTGACTGAACTGCCATTTTTTTATGCCCCAGTGTATCTCCGGCTTTTGGCTATACCGATCATAACTCCCGAGTTTTTCATTCTGGTGAGCGATGTGTAGTCGCTATCTCAAAAGTCATCTATCCTACCCACCACTCTGAGGGCATAAAAAATAGCATGATATTCGGTTGTGTGATACTCAGCTCTGCTGTTGTCCAGCAATTGTCCATTTACACGACCCATGGAGCACTGACCACAGCTGGTCTCAGTATACTCGGCGGAAGGCTTTTACTTCTACTGCTAGATAATCAGGAACCTTCCTCAATGAATGAATAAATTAGCTCATTCCGTGGATGCATTCTCACACGTACTCTTCCCCTGCATGCCGAGGCATCAAACTTTCTATTTCTCTCAAGAAGATAACAGCACAATGATATCAGAAAGGTTGCATCCATTTGGATATGCTCTGTTGCCTTCTGTGCCCAAATACAGCATGTCAGAGCAAAACTTTTGGCCGAGAGAAACATCGGTGCAAGTCAAACTTTACGGCTCGCCGGGTGAATTACCAACAAAAGTGAAGTTCAATCTAGAGACAACATTGCAGAGTTAGATAATCTATTTCAAGCGAACGAAAGAAGAAGTTTATGTTTTGTTACCAACTCGATTATAGACATAACTGCCTACCATTGTGTGACTCCTAGGAAGCGGTTGCCCAGCAGATTTACCCTTTAAATAATGTTTCAAAAAGAAATCATTTTGTTAGTGTTAGGAAACATAGATTAGGCGTCGGCACCATGAGGCGCCTGATGCATGAGACACCCTGTCAATGAGACATCTTGTCTACAAGACGCCTGGTGCATGCGACACCCTGTCCTTGAGACATATTGTCTACAAGACGACTGGTGCATGCGACACCCTGTCAATGATACATCTTGTCTACAAGACGACTGATGCATGAGACACCCTGTCAATGAGACATATTGTCTACAAGACGACTGGTCCATGCGACACCCTGTCAATGAGACATCTTGTCTACAAGACGACTGGTGCATACGACACCCTGTCAATGAGACATATTGTCTACAAGACGACTGGTGCATGCGACACCCTGTCAATGAGACATATTGTCTACAAGACGACTGGTGCATGCGACACCCTGTCAATGAGACATCTTGTCTACAAGACGACTGGTGCATGCGACACCCTGTCAATGAGACATCTTGTCTACAAGACGACTGGTGCATGCGACACCCTGTCAATGAGACATCTTGTCTACAAGACGACTGGTGCATGCGACGCCCTGTCAATGAGACATCTTGTCTACAAGACGACTGGTCCATGAGACACCTGTCAATGAGAGATCTTGTCTACAAGACGACTTGTCCATGAGACACCCTGTCAATGAGACATCTTGTCTACAAGACGACTGGTCCATGCAACACCCTGTCAATGAGACATATTGTCTACAAGACGACTGGTCCATGAGACACCCTGTCAATGAGACATATTGTCTACAAGACGACTGGTGCATGCGACACCCTGTCAATGAGACATATTGTCTACAAGACGACTGGTGCATGCGACACCCTGTCAATGAGACATCTTGTCTACAAGACGATTGATGCATGAGACATCCTGTCAATGAGACATATTGTCTACAAGACGACTGGTCCATGCGACACCCTGTCAATGAGACATCTTGTCTACAAGACGACTGGTGCATACGACACCCTGTCAATGAGACATATTGTCTACAAGACGACTGGTGCATGCGACACCCTGTCAATGAGACATATTGTCTACAAGACGACTGGTGCATACGACACCCTGTCAATGAGACATCTTGTCTACAAGACGACTGGTGCATGCGACACCCTGTCAATGAGACATCTTGTCTACAAGACGACTGGTGCATGCGACACCCTGTCAATGAGACATCTTGTCTACAAGACGACTGGTGCATGCGACACCCTGTCAATGAGACATCTTGGCTACAAGACGACTGGTGCATGCGACACCCTGTCAATGAGACATCTTGTCTACAAGACGACTGATGCATGCGACACCCTGTCAATGAGACATCTTGTCTACAAGACGACTGGTGCATGCGACACCCTGTCAATGAGACATCTTGTCTACAAGACGACTTGTCCATGAGACACCTGTCAATGAGACATCTTGTCTACAAGACGACTTGTCCATGAGACACTCTGTCAATGAGACATCTTGTCTACAAGACGACTGGTCCATGCAACACCCTGTCAATGAGACATATTGTCTACATGACGACTGGTCCATGAGACACCCTGTCAATGAGACATATTGTCTACAAGACGACTGGTCCATGCGACACCCTGTCAATGAGACATATTGTCTACAAGACGACTGGTCCATGAGACACCCTGTCACAAGACATCTTGTCTACAAGACGACTGGTCCATGAGACACCCTGTCAATGAGACATATTGTCTACAAGACGACTGGTGCATGCGACACCCTGTCAATGAGACATATTGTCTACAAGACGCCTGGCGCATGCGACACCCTGTCAATGAGACATATTGTCTACAAGACGCCTGGTCCATGAGACACCCTGTCAATGAGACATCTTGTCTACAAGACGACTGGTCCATAAGACACCTTGTCCATGAGACAGATTGTGTAAAAGACGCCTGGTGCATGAGACACCTCGTCCTTGAGACGCCTGGTCCTTGAAGTGCTTGGTGTATGAAGTTTTTGATCCATGAACTGTTTGGTTCATATAGTGCCTGGTCTATGAAGTGTCTGGTCCATAAGCTGTTTGGTCTATATAGTCACTGGTCTATGAAGTGTCTGGTCCATGAAGTGTCTGGTCCATGAAGTGTCTGGTCCTTGAATAACCTGGTCTATAAATCGCTTGGTCAGTGGTGTTCTGAACCGCAAGTAGGCGATTGCTCTCTTCTAATTTAATTTGCTAACTTATTCTCACAACGACCCGGTCCCCTCTGGGAGCGAGTAAACAGTGCAGAAGGACAAACATAAAAAATGTTCAGAAGAGAATGGTCAAGCGGA